ATGAAGGGCCTACCATATATTAGTTGCAAAATTGTACCAAGTCAATTTTGTAAAATACTAGGACATATTTAATGCACAATTGACCAAATGGTTGGGTGTCAGAAGTTTTGATCCACCTCTCGTGAAAAAGACAAATTTCCGCCTATTCAGTTGGAAGCGGGTCAAATTTGAACTGCAGCTGCCTCATAGTTTGCTATTTATTTTTTCCAAAAATCATTTCTAGGTACATAAGTATCTATTTAATCAGAGAAACACCAACAAAATTCCAAGATTCAACCACTAGCTAGGAACGGTCATTCCCGTCGTTTTGACCGCATTTTGAAACGGGCATAAAAATTCAAAAAAAAATCAAAAAATTGGGAAACCTTCGCATTGTTTCATCATATGTGGCCAAGTTCCTAGGAAAAATAACAAACTTGTAATATGGCAATTATTTTAAAAAAGTGTTCTCAGAAACGAGCTATCATGTGTGGAGATCAATGGATTTCAAGCCAAATGATCAATCTTATGGCCACATTCATGGCATAGTTTGTTCAAATGATCTCATATTGTGCACAAGGGTGCATATTGGAATGGCAAACAATGTTGCCTAAGGAAGTTTTCATTTTCGTTGGACGAAAAAACTATTTTCCATTTTTCGAGTGCCCGAAAGGAGGTTTTTTTGTTGCAAAATTGGATCAAATCATTTTTATAAAATATTAGGCCATATTTAATGCACAATTGACAAAATGGTTGGGTGTAAAAAATTTTGATCCACCTCTCGTGAAAAAGACAAATTTCCGCCGATTCGGCTGGAAGCGGGTCAAATTTGAACTGCATCTGCCTCATAGTTTGCTATTGATTTTTTCCAAAAATCATTTCTTGTTACATAAGGACCTATTTAATCATAAATACATGGTTTGGTGGCGATACGTCGAGGTTTGGGCGGTGGCCGAGGGCCCCAACTCTAGAGCGCGTAAACTCGCATGCCCGTCGCGCGGTCACTGCATGACCGTAATGTTGCCATGTGTTCTGGGCGGCTTAGGGATGTCTAGTGGGTTGGGCACTCCCCAGGTTGGTCAAACATGAATTAGCAGCCAAGTGTTTGATTAGCGGTACGGGAAATGCACATGGCCAATGGGCGTGAGTTTTGGCTGAGGATGATCATATACTAAGGAGAATGTCTTCACAAATTTTTAGCTCAAAAGGAGGATCCTAGGTGGTACTTGCTTTGCAAAGTACCATGCTGGACAAAAATATGAATGTTGAACCTGGGCTCAAAATAATGAATGGATTGAGCTGAAATTTTGTTGAGGATGGTTATTTGGGCATAGGAAAGCATTGTAGAAAATTGATACCATTTGGAGATGCCAAAGTAGTACTTCCTTCACAATGCTATTCTATGGACAGAAACTTGGGAAAACTAGTAAGAGAGATTGGATGAATGAAATGAGCTCAAAATTGGTGTAGGTAAGTTACTTAGGTATGGTCATGCGCTGGTCAATTTTCAGATCATTTGGGTAAGCCTAGCTAGTACTTACTTCACAAAGCTTCTCTCGAGGTAGAAACTTTGAAAATTTTCCGAGAAAGATTTACTAGGAAAATTGAGCTGAATATTATCATGTGGCAATGATTTGGGTATGGAAGAGTGCCCGAAAAGTTTGAGGGTAATAGGAGGGGTCTATATAACACTTGCTTTGCAACGTGCCAATTTGGCCATAAAATATAAATTGAACCTGGGCTCACATAGATGATTTGACTGAGTTGCAATTTGGAGGAGGGTGATAATGTGGGCATATGAAGAAACTGTATAAATTTCATGTCATTTAGAGATATAAAAAAGATACTTCCTTCACAATACTTCTAGGTGGACAAAAACTTTGGAAATTTGCCAAGGAAGATTTGCTAGGCAAATGGAGCTGAATTTTGTCATGCGGTAATGATTTGGATAGGAAAGAGTGCCCAAAAATTCCTAGGTCAATCAAGAATATATAAATAGCACTTCCTTCATAAAGTGTTGTTGTGAACATAATAGGAAAATGAATATTGTTGAATTAGTTTTGAACTAGGCAAGGAAGGATTTTTACATATTTGATGAAGATATGACCCAAAGAATTTATGAGATTTTTTTGGGAATTTTGGGAATGATAGAAATATAGCTTGCTTCACAACCTAGGGCAAAAACTGCCACATGGACATGACACATAGGCAAAACTGATGAGATGGCGCCTAGTCATCACAACCCACCACAATCTACAAGGCTATGACCATCTATATTGGTCATTAATAACTAGAAATAAGGCAGCGGACTAGCACTGTTTGCTTTGTGACCATTTCGTGTAAGGAAATTACGATCTTTCTGACCAAAATGGTCGCAATGGTTTAGGGTTTGAAGCCCCTTGAACAGCTTTTGACCAATTGGTCTAAAATGGTCATAAATTTATGACCAATTCTTCGAGGGTCACTGACAGAAGGTCATAAGTTGACATATTTCTTGTAGTGAGTGACGGCGGGGGCAACATGGCTGGTGACGAGATCCGCCGGAGGGGACTGCACGTGTGCGACCTCAACGGTGACGGTGGAGGGCTGGGAGGCTTCCATGGCGGTGAAGAACTGTCGGGAAAGATGCACCAGAGCGGGCCGTGGCGGGGGCAATGGCGGCGGAGGGGTGGGGGAGCGGGAACGGCCGTGTGGAAATTTCCCTCGCGCCAAATCTTGCTGCGGATAGGGGCCAAGCTTGGGTCAGCCTCCCACCCCGTGAATTTAAAGGTTGAGAGAGATCTTTTGCCACACCTCGCAAAAAAAAAATTACGGGTCGGGCGCGTTTATTGTGTCTAGCCGGGCAGGATTTTCCGCGCCGGCCCGCATTTTAGCGATTATTTTGCGAGTCGCGGCTTTATACGGGGTCTGCTAGAGATGCTCTAAAGGAGCTGGCTGTCTCGTAAACTGGGTTCAGGCTTTCAGATAGGACTTTAGACAGCTTTGTTGTAACTATTGTATTTTCCGCATTTGTTCTTTTTCTTTACCTTTTTCGTTTGCTTGTGTAGCTCTTATTTTCTCCTTTGAACATTTCCATGTACTCCCCTCTGTTCTTAAATATAAATTTTTATAGAGATTTTACTGTGGGCTACATACGAGGCAAAATAAGTAAATCTATACTCTAAAATACATTTATATACATCTATATTTACGAACGGAGGAAGTAACATTTATTTGAAATCAATAAAAAATATGGAGCAGAGTCCTACTGTTTCCTAAAAAAAATCTAACGACTGAGATTGTCTTGATTGCGAGGGCAGCCGGCCGACGGGCGCCTAGCATCAACCAAAAACGCTTGAGTTAATTACAATTTTGATATATAAACTTGCACTCGATACACAGTTTCATACATAAACTTGAAAAATGATACAGATTGACCCTACTTCTTGTGTTTCAGGTACATTTTAATACATTTCCGTCCATTGCCGTTTACTCTCCGTTAAATCTGCATGCAACCTCACTCGCAGTCACACAAAAAGTATTACACGGCATCAGGATTCGAACTCAACACTCAGACATTCACGATAGGGAGCCACCGCACAGCTACACCACTGCTACTCTATGTTACTATTGTAGATAGACAATCTCTTTTATATGACTAGAAAATAATTGATTTAAAGTCAAAATAGAGGCTGCACAAGAGTTTGAACATGATATTTTTTTCTCCTTTTTGATTTAATTCCAGGAGGGACCTGAAAACCGGTTTCCGAAAAACTAGGAATTTCTGGTATTTTTCTGTTCAAAATTTTCAAATGAATACCGAATTTGATTTTTGTGTGTAAACAAATATTCCCTTTTTAACCCCAAATATGAAAAACTAGGTCTCATGTTGTACTGGTTGGCTTGACTTGTTTTAATCAGAGAGGGGTGCGGATTCAAGGCATCGCTAAGGCATCTTGTCCAGAAAAAAATTAAAGTATTGAATATAATGGTAAAAAGGTTCAGTTTTTGCAAGATGGTTTATTCACCTTATCACTTGAAAGAATGTTGTTATATGAAAATGTATGCATACAAGCTCTATTTTATAATATCCGAGCTTTTATATTGACTATTTAAAATATTTTTAAAAAGAGTGTTGAATATAATGCTAAAAAGGTCCTTTTTGAACCGGAAAAAGGTCATACAACTGGAGCTTTTAAATTGGCGGCAAAAAAAGGACCTTAAAAAACAAATGGATGCGGCGTTAAACCCGCATCCCTCTAATTGAAACAAGTCAAGCTGACCACTACAAGCGGAGACATAATTTGTCATATTTGGGATTAAAAAGAGAATATATGTCTACACTAAAAAAAATCAAATTCATAATTCGTTTGAAATTTTTGAACAAAAAAATACCAGAAATTCTGAGTTTTTTTAAACCGGTTTCAGATCCCTCCCGGAATAATATCGAAAAGGAGAAGAAAACTTGTCCAAACCCTTGTCCAGGGTCTATTTGGATTCAGATCAATTGTTTACTAGCCATATAAAAGTGGTTGCCTATCTTCAAACTGTAAGAGAAAGTAGTAGTCGTGCACTGGCCGTCTGGCCCGCTCCTTAAGCGTGTGGAGTTCGAATCTTGTTGCCGTGATTTTTTTTCCTATATTTCTATTTATTTCTTCACCACTGACAGGTAGGCCCAATACGCAGTTATCATGTGTGAGTCAGCTTGCATGCAGACTTAACGGGGAGTAAACGGCAACGGACGGAGATGTACTAAAATGTTTCCGAAACATAAGTTATAGGATTGTTTTGTCTCATTTTTCAACTTTATGTATTAATTTGTACATCAGATGCAAGTTTATGCATCAAAAGTGTAATTAACTCAAAAACGCTTCCTATCGGAGGCAAGAAAACGACGAGACCGCACTTCGCTCGCTCCCTTTTTTTTTCTTCTTCCTTTCTAAAATTGCCACTGGCTCATCTACCTCAGACCAATCCGCTCCGCCAGTCCAGCTCCGGGCAACGAATCTCGACGGCGGCGGTGCCCCAAGCTTGCTGCCGTGATGCTGCCGAGGCGTCTTCTCGTCGCCGGCCTCCTGCGGTCAACCTCCACTTCTTCCCCCGTTTACCCAAGGCCAGAGGTGAGACGATACTGCTCCTCATAGCTCATGATTTGGTCAACCTTTGATCTGTTCATCATGCTGGACGATCTGGATCTGCAATTGCCGTTGCTACCTAGCGGCTAGCGCTATGCTTTTTTAATGTGAAGAGTAAGCCAGTTATTATCCCGAAACTATGCCTCCAGAATTTGTCATTTCTGTGGCTTAGATAGGGCTGCTGTTAACCAGTGATTCGTTTTCTTCACAATGTACTTTGATTCCCTGCTTGGATCCACTCACATGTATGCGTGCAGGTCTACTGTAATAATGTTTCTAGGCGTCACAAAAACCAGTAAATTCGTGTACAGAGTAATGCGCTGAAATCGCCTTCTTGCTTCACAGAATGTCAGAGAAAGGTTCCTTTCAAGTTGGTGTTATTCTGACAGCACCAGGCGTCAGACTTATGGAGGAGCAGGGTCAACAGCTAAGGTAGAGTGGAGATAATCTCTTGGCTTGAAATATGAAAGATTTTGATCCTATTGAGCATTATTATGAAGACAGTTCATGCATATTTGCACAAAACTCTGTTCTCCTGACAGAAACCTCTTCTTTTTCTGTATAAGAGGAGATGCTGGATCCCTTTGCACTGGTTAAAGATGAAGTGTCGGAAATCTCGAACAGACTGCGTTCGACGGTGGTATCGGAGGTGCATGCTCTAAACTGCACCCCTATCCTGAATTACACAGTGCGCGCTGTGCGCTTTGTGGCTTTGTTAACGTTGTATCTCCAACATATATTTTTTGTTGCAGGTACCTGAATTGACATCAGCAGCTGGATACTTCTTCAGAGCTGGAGCTGAAGGGAAAAGAACATGCCCCACTGTAAGTCCAGACTTCAGGGGTGGTACTGAATATCCTGTCATTACTTCAAGACACGTGTTGTTGATTTCTTAGACACTTCAGTATATGTAATGTACCTGTTCTTACCACATCAACGTAAGTTATTGAGAATCGGCGTGTCAGGTTCTACTATTGATGGCCTCGGCTATACGAACAGACACTCCTGACTCCATTGTTGGTTCAAGGAACGAGCTTCGTGCAAGACAGATGCGCATTGCTGAGATAACTGAAATGATTCATGTACACATCATAATCCTTTCTTATTTCCTTGAGCTCTCTATAAGATAACAGGATTATTTATTTCAGTGACTTGTCTTCTTCTTTCACATCTTAGGTAGCAAGCCTTATCCATGATGATGTTCTGGATGTTGCTGATACCAGACGTGGTATGGATTCCCTGAACTCTGCAGTGGGAAACAAGGTAACCGAACATTTTATATATACTGCAAGGCGCCCGTGCGTTGCTACGGAGCTGCAGGATACAAGAAAATCCTCTACCATTCATTGCATTTGTCACTCTACTCTATAGATCGTGCAATTTGTCTGCTACAAATTGTCATACTGACCGTATGGTCTATAGATATTCCAATGCGCATTCCATTCACCTTTTAGAGAGAGGGAATGATATGGCAATAAATATGTTACTATTTGCTATTGTTGAATGGAGTAAGATATCTGAAAACAATAATGTTAAAAGTAGTTGATTTATTATGGCCGAGTAAGCAGGTGGAAATTCAATTTGATAAGGCTACTTCATTTTAGCTATCTAGCAGTTCTCAGAATACAAAAATATTGCAGAGATCTCTTGTAGTCATACATATGCAAGCAGACCTCTGTTCAGCAAATGTTCATAAATACAGACTCTGCTTCAAAAACAAACAATTTGAGCAATACCGAGTCAGCCTATCAGCTTGGTCGTCCAACTCAAATTATATTGAGTTCTCATTTGGAAAACTGATGCTATCTTGCAGCTTGCGGTATTGGCCGGTGATTTCCTACTTTTCAGGGCATTTTCTGCTGCCGGGTCTCTTGGCAATACTGAGGTGTGATGCTTATCCGTTTTTTGATATAGCTCAATAATTCCTTATTTTATTCTGTTGATGGTTTTAGATAGGATAAAGTGAACCTTGAATGCTAATGCTATCAAGAACATCCGCAAAGTCCCACACAAAAATCATCCACAAAGGGAAAAAATGTTTATTTTTAGCATGTCACGTCTCATGCCACCCTGCAACTTTCTCCACTTCTTTCAAGACTTAATCAGTTCTTTTTTACAGTGGATATTTCAAAGCTTCATAGCATAAGATACCCATGATGTTTCTTCATCTCTCTATTTTTTCCCTTTTTTTGCTGCAGGTTGTATCTTTACTAGCAACAGCTCTAAATAGCCTTGTGACGGGTGAGCTGATGCAGATGGCCATAACTCCAGCACAACGCTGCAGGTAGACATCCAATTCAATTCTATTCATTTTCTAGCATAAATATCCCGGAAGTACTGTTTTTACTAGTGACAAAGCACACAGAAAGTGAGAACGAGAATGCTACTCATCAACGCCAAACGTCAATATGATTGATGTGGCTAACTCCTTTACAGTAATATCTATACGCATCTTTTTGGAGGTAACTGTAGGAATTTCTTCCTGACAGCGTATTTTTATAAATTTTGTTAAAAGAAGTATATATGGTAGAAGTTCAGGATTAGCAAATTATATGGTCCTCTTATCCAACGAAACCAAGAAAAAGGAAGAAAGGAGTGTAAGCTGGGTTCATCCAACACTCATATCTGGTCTTTTACTTAATTTGACACCTGTCGTCTTGTTCACCATGCACGCACAGCATGGATTACTATTTGCAGAAGACATACTACAAGACAGCTGCATTGATTTCAAATAGCTGCAAAGCCGTTGCAGTTATCGCTGGCCAAACAGCAGAGGTTGCAGCCCTTGCTTATCAGTATGGCAGGCACTTGGTTAGTTGAATTTTTGGTGCCCGGAATACTTTATCCTGCTTGCTAACCATGAGCTACTAACTCAACCTATGTTCTGCTATCCCCTGCCACTCTGGCAGGGTATAGCATATCAGCTGATCGACGACATCCTTGATTTCACGGGCACATCCGCTTCACTAGGCAAAGGCTCCTTGTCTGATACCCATCAAGTAATAGCATTTCTCTTGGCCACTTCCACACTGAAAGTTGTTTAACTTTCTATTGCTGAGTGATTGTTCGACCTGAGAGCTATCATGTTATGACTAGAGTGGGCTCATGGAAGCATATGTCTTGAGTTGTTTTGTTGGTGTTCCTCAAAGCATTATGGTTTAGTTAGCACAACAAAACCGCCATCTTGTCGAGTTTCGAATTTTGAATGTCCTTTTGAGGATGTTGCTTTTCCAGATATGAATATGCCTTTACATTTACAGGGAATCGTGACCGCTCCTCTGTTGTTCGCAATGGAAGAGTTCCCTGAACTACGTGAGAGTGTAGAGCGTGGATTCGATGACCCTTCAGATGTTGCTACTGTCAGTGTTAAAACTCCTCTGTTTTTTCTTCCAAGTAATATAATGAAGACATTTGTCTGTGAAATGATCAATGCCAGGAGTGCTCACTTTTACATTTCAGGCCCTCGAATACCTTGCGAAAAGCCAGGGAATCGAGAGGACAAGGTTGTTTGCTACTGGACACGTGAAACTGGCAGCACGCGCAATCGATGCGCTTCCTGAGGTTGGGGACAGAGTTGCGCTGATCTCGAGGCAAGCACTCAAAGACCTTGCTCAGAAGCTCATCAGGAGAACAAAGTGAAGCGAGAATATGCGATACATCGATAAACATGCCTTATTTGTAGCTTTGATGCATGTTTATGTCCCTGACGGTATCTTTTACTGATGGAGTACAGCAGACGTGGATAGGAGATAAGGAGATTTATCTCTCTCTCTCTCTCTCTCTCTCTCTCTCTTGCTCCCATATTGTCAGCAGCTATTTATCACTAGTCCAAAAGCTAAGGTGCTTCACGGATCTGCGCCCTTGGACAGATTCAGATGAGTTTTTTTTTTGCGGGTAGATGAGTTGACTTGTCAGGACTAATTCAGTGATTGTTTGAGGAAGAAAGCTATTCCATCTGCGGCACATTGAGTTGAGGGCTTCTGAAGTTTTTTTTGAAACTGTTAGCAAAGAATAGTAGCTGTGGGTACTGTTATGACATGAAGTCATGAACACACCCAATTTTCACCCAAAAGCATCACAAATTATGCCTTTTTTATTTGACAAACAGTCAAGCTGTAGCATATCCAACCCCCACAAAATGTTCAATACTTTTATTTAACATTTAGAGTGCAAAACTGTTTGAAAAGAATTCATAGATCTACATCGGAATATTGCTCGAAGCAGTGACCGGAAGCAGCACTGCAAGTAGCCATGGCCAGATAGAGAGTGAACTTGTGTAGGACGGGCTACTTGTAGCCTGTTATTTCAAAAACAATTGTCAAATGATATTTCCAAGTTTTTAAAAAATAAAAAAATCCTGTGAAAAGTCATACTACATATTCTCGACGAATTTGTAATTTTTTGTTAAAAAATATTATGATTTGTGAGCTATGAAAAAAGATCCTGGCCCAACAACAAAAAAAGTTGGCCCATTCTCATGTATGTATTTGTCTTTTTTGTCTACGCTACGTATGAACTTATATTTGTAATGAAAAAAATTTGAATGTGTTATATATGTAGAAGAAAATCTTCTGCACTGTCAAAAATTGTATTTTAAATACGGGCTATATTGGCAATTTTTGTGGCCAGATACCCCAAGGAAAAGGCTAAAAACCGAGGACGACATTTGGTGCCGGGGAGCATTTGATTTTGCTGATGAACAGTAAAATCAAAAGAAATAGAAAAAAAATAAACATTTCGAAATTTTTGGCACAAAAGTTGCACAAGCTTTCTAGGTGTATGCAAAAACTGGTGGCGATATGACATCATAGGAGCTCAGGAAAAAAACAGAGTATTGAGAAAGGTTCATTTTTTTTATTTGAGCACTAATTTTGTTTTTTCTGTCCCGAGCTCCTCCCATGTCACATTGCCATGAAACTTTGCACGCACACAGAAAACTTGTTCATGTTTGATGTATAGAATTTTTAGATTTTTTGCTGTTTTATTTTATTTTTAGATATGATCGTGTCTAGCTATGGATTTTCACTACAAAACCCTAGTGGATAAGATTTCCCTATTGTATACTCTAGGGGCAATGCCCTAGAGTGATGGGGAAATCGTTGTTTCCCTTGGATTTCAGGAGAATACCCGTAGGGAACGAATAATTTCCCATGGGTTTGAAGATTATAGAAGTTATGGTATGGTCCTCAACATGCATCCGATGATTTCTCCAGCAGTGTGGAAGAGCCCTCGACTCTCTCATCACTAGAATCCAGCTAGCGTTACATCGTCAGCTGGTAGAGAGGTTGATGACAGTGATGGATCCGGGTGAATCGAACGGTTTGCGCGCAAGGCAATTATACGGCTCTTGAGCCCGCTTGCACCGGTCGACCGGCGCCTAGTGTTCACTACTAGAAAAAGGCATATTAGTGGCGCATCAGTTTTGCTTACTAATGGCGCACTACTGGTACGTCACTAGTATCATGTCACTAGTATTATATACTAATAGCGCACCACGCCGTGCGTCATTAGTATAGACCAACATGCGCTATTAGTATGCCTTCCAGGGGGGCATATTTACCCATGTGCTTTGGCATACTAATGGCGCATTGTGGGGTGATGCGTCATTAGTATCCTTTGGCATACTAATGGCGCACTGTGTAGTGATGCGCCATTAGTATCCTTTGGCATACTAATGGCGCACTTTGAGATGATCTGCCATTAGTATGAATATTAGGTTTTTTTACTTTTCTAATTTTTGCACAGGTTATAAAATATATTATTAGACAGAATATAGATAGCACCACACAGCAACAGCAGATTCATCGAAGACAATAGAAGATTAGTCTCCGAATACAATTCATCATATTAGTCTCCGAATTCAAAAGACCGAATAAAGATAGAACATTACAAGTCTCGATACCGCGGGTAGCGAGTTTGTCTTCACATTACAAGTCGATATCGATCATCTAAACTACCATCACATAGAAGAGAGCTGCGGTCATCACGATGAGCATCATCGTGATGAAACCGGTCTTCATCCGGTTCCTCCAACGCCCCCTCCTCTCTCTCCGCTAGATAGCGGGCGTATCTAGATTCCGCCTCCGCCCTAATGGTGTACCCTTTGTAATTGTTACCGCTGAAACGGTGAACCTGTCTCCACTACTAGGGAAAACCCTAGCAGTAGCGCTGGTTTTGTGCTCACTAGTAGCGCGGGTAGGCGCGCTACTAATAAGGCGCCACAGCTATTGCTTAGCAGTAACGCGTGGCACACGCGCTACTGCTAGGACAAATAGCTGCAGCGCTTGTTCACTCCCACGCTGCTGCTAATGTAACTACTGGCAACGTGTTTTCTTTCCATCGCTACTAGTATTGTTTTTTATTTTTTTATTTTTAGTGTATTTATGCGCCATCGTACAAATATTGGTACAATACCAGTTGTGAGGTTTACATCATTATGTCCATAACAGTGTGTCAAATGAAGGTGGATTAGGTTCAAGTGGAGGCAATATGTGGTGCATGTCAAAAGTATACTACTAATCCAAACTTGATCTAGTTTGGACTAGTAGTACTTTCGATGTGCACCACATGTTGCCTCCACTTGAATCTAATCCGCCAGCACAAGCTATTTAATCATCATAATCATTAGCACCAACAATATTTATTTAATCACCACTAACACTAACTAATAATAATCATCAGTTATTACCACCAACACTAGCTATTTTATCATCACAGTAATAGTGTAGCACATCATCATCCTCAAACTCATTTCTAGCTAATCACTCCTGCTGCTCTCTCTTAGGTAAAACAACATAAAACATGTGTAGCTCTCCTCCTTGATCAAGTTGGAGCATGCAGATGAACCTGTCTCCTAATTTTGGGTAGCACATCTGTTTGCTGCCCCCAAGTACTTGTCTGCGCTCCCCCATCACATATCTGGTCTAGTCTTGCACTATTAAGCATTCATCACTGATCTTGAATGCACTAAAGTAACATGTAGGATATCTTGGCCGTAAGCTAATAATACTCATGGTACCTTTAGTCTCGATCCCATAAGGCACAACATTCATCGGGAGTCCCTGTTGAAGAATATCGTATGGTCACATACTTAGCAATGAAGTTTAGCTTCACAAATAATGTATGGAAAAGATGCACTGAGGACAAATAGTAAAAATCTTACCATCCTTCCTAAATAGATGTGACCGTAGTTCATGACGAACACTATTGGTCGCACGTTTTCAGTACTAAGATTTCTAAGTCCAGGAAGAAAATTTGTCTTGACGGTATCAAGATCCTCAAGCCATGAAACATAATGACTTAGCTCCTCGTAGTTTAGTTCAGCCCCGGGACAGTAGTAGGTCCTGTCTACCAAGCGCTGGACATGTTTGCTTGCACCGAAATAAGCTGACAATACAAATTAGTTATCAACTATTTTTGAATAAACAATATCAAAGACATAAATATGGTTGAGAAACTTACATTTTGGTGTAACTGGAGGCGTCTGCACATCGACCCAGATGTCGCTATTACCTTCAATATCATCTTCCGGACGAATATCAAAGGTGATAACCATATCAGGCTGAAATGCATAAGTCTTGCATAGTGCTCGCCATGTTTTGCATCCAAAATAGGTGTAGTCGTCTGAATTGTATAATTTTGCGTGGAAAATCTAACCATGCTCGGTCTTCAAATAAACTTTCTTTACCTCCATAGTATGACTGAAACCTATCTCATCCAATACAAAAACTCTTGCATGGCAGGGGATATGCTAGTAGAATAGTAAAAAATATATAAGTTGAAGCAAATGAAGCAGATGCCATGCTTAATTACGAAAAAAGACTTGTCATTGTGACTTACTGTATCCACTTCGAAGTTCTCGTCCAGCTTGATGCTGAAGCGCCTATCATCATCTAGGAAGATTCCGTCACACAGGCCGCGCTCGTCTTCGCAGTATTTGCAAATACCGAAATCCTTTTTGTCGTCAGACATTTCCTATGTTCATAGTTAAAACATTAATTGAAAATCAATAGAAGACAACTACCAGGATACTCAACACACAAATCCGGGCACTCGATATTTCCTACATATTCTGGCAAAAGTCATGCCAAAATTCACAGAAAAATCCGGCATGACCTTTGCTAAAATACGATATATCGAGCGCCTGAAATTTGCCGGAACGAAAATGAATCAACACTCCGGCAAAACATAGGCCACTCGGAGGTGTAACCTGCAAACATGACTGGCCACTTGGATATTGAGCAACACAAGATATACATTTCAAAATATCTTATAAGACTCAAATTAGCATGCATTCAATAAGCAAAAGTAAATCATCTCATGCGTACGTACATCGTCGAATATTATCACTAATACATCCCGAATAGTGTCATACATATAACATCACTAGTACAATTGAAACCCTAGCACACGACGGGTATCGGCGCGGGCGGTGGACACCCACAGAGAAGGAACCATCACGGGATCATAGCTCCAGTGAGATCCCTGGAGAACCTGCCAGGTATTGGAGAACCTATGCTCCAACGCAAACAAGTAGCGACGGACATGCGCGTCCTCCTCACTGACACGGTGATGCACCACCTCCGCGGAGTCCTCGAGCCTCTGGACCGTCACTGGCCCACGCGACCGCCACCAAAGAA